AGTGCTACTACTACTGTGACTACTACGACGACGACGACGACTATTGCGATTACGACTGCTGCGACTACTGGGACGACGACGGCTGCTACTTCTGCTGCTACTGATGCCTGCATGCATGTAGAGAGAACGATACATAGTACAGCAGCAACATAATGGTGAGGGTTGCAGGACGCCATGCAAAGGCTTGCCAGAGTTGTCTTGTAATGATAGTTTGTTCTCGACTTGTTCTGCGGCCCATTTCCACTTCTTTAATACTGTGCTCTGGTCAGGATCACTGCAAGTTTGTCGGGGCGGCGGTGTGGCAGCATGACCCTGAATGCCGGGGCTGCAAGACTTCTGAGCTGCTGGCTTGGGCCCCAGCCCGCATTGAGGAGGGAGAGTGCCAAGACCACTGCAAGCGCCTTGGTGAAATTTGGAAGCCCAAATGTACACTAAATCAAGTCACTCCGATGCTGCTCCGCTTTTGGAACCTGGCCAACTCTCAGGTACCAGGGAGCTGCTGTGTGGAAAGACGATGCCGCCTGCAGCGGATGCTTCCACGCCCTGCTGCAGGAAACTCAAGATACCCTGGCAGAGATCGTCATCATGCCGTTCCCTCCTCCTCCTCCTCCTCTTCCTCCTCCTACTTCATCTTTCTTCATCCACATCCTCATGTCAGCCATCTTCACATCGACATCGAGCTGAATCAGACACTTCACCTCCTTCCGCCAGTCATCATCCTCAGCCTCGTCCCATGTCATTGTTTTCCGATTCACCCCAGTTTATATTTCATTTGAATTAGTCATAATTGTCATCATCACCGGTATCTGAGAAATCACCATTGCCAACACCGCAGCCATGACACGTTACCATTTCCACCATATTTTTCGTCGTATTCTCGAGTACCATCGCCATCTTGACCATCTTCTCCCCTGTCTCCATGTCCGTCTTTTCATTTTCTTCTTGGGGCTTCCCCTTTTCATCAGCATCGCCATTGCCATACTTGCACCACCGCGCATAGCAGCATCGTCACCACGAAGTCCCTCAGCGACTACATTCACCACATATCCGTTTGCTTCACCATGATCAGCAGCGTCACCTCCACCTTCACCTTCGCCGCACGTAGCATCGATACCATCATGATCAGAATGGTCGTCCCAGTCCTGAGTGGCCTCAGCTGTTACCCGAACAAATTCATGACTGACTCGTGCAACCATCGTGATGCTTTTCCTCTTGTGTAATGAGCTACTTAATTCTGCTACTCAGTACGATGTCCAGATGCACTGCACGGCACGCTGGCAGGAGAAGCTGCGGAACAATGGAACCAAAAGCGAGAAGCTTGAGCCAAATGGAAGCCGTTTTGTTCGTTTTCCGAGATCGTCCATGCTGGCCAGAGCGTGGCCTCCTTGTCAACCTCAGCTATGTAGACAGAGACATGAGCCATGTGGAACCCGAGGTGCACCACCATTACCGGCGGAACCTGCATGTTCAACAACTGCGATTATACTCGAGGCCCCACACAATGCAACTGGGCACGGCTTTGCGTTTGTCCGCAAAACTTTTGTGTCTTGACTGCACTCGCATGATGGACAATGGTCCCCCCCCTTTGCAGCATTGGGGTGCCTTGATTCTTGAACCGAGGTTCGCAGAATGGAGTCTGCGTCTTCAACCTGGACACTGTGATGCGGTGATAGGGGTATCTGAGAAACATGGCGGATAAGACCGCAATGAGCCAAAGCGTTCGCGGAGAGTGTATGAGCGAGGAGCATATGCGACAACTGCTTCTTCCTTGCTCACGCTACCTTTGACGCACACCTATGGTTATGCAGTTATGCAGGAATATGCGGGAACATCCACCTGTATGTGTCCACGTGCTTGCTATAACACATAGAAAGGTAGCATGTGGGGCATGTGTATGAAATGCTTGGAATGGAAAACAGGACAGTCGTGCTTGTGTCATTGCCGCGCACATGGTAGTTTTGCAGGCCGGAATTAGCTGAGCAGTAGTGGTAGTAGTAGCAGCCGCAGGAGGAGTAGTAGTGGCAGGAGCAGTGGTACTTAGTAGCGGTACTAGTACGAGCACTAGAAAGTAGTCGTCGTCGTAGTCGCAGTCATGGTTGTCGCTGTTGTTGGTGGTCGTGGGGAACTTGACCAGCTGGGTCTATCTTCTGACATGGATAGCCTTTTGAATACCGTTCGTCGTGCCCTGCCTGCAGTGCCGAGCCCGAACTACTACAGGTGAGCTTCAACAGGCATCACTCAAGCGGGGTCTGAGAGAAATACGCAGAAACCGCAAAGAATTGTTCTGATGCGGTTGTGAGTGACCGCATCGACCAGATTCCGGTCCTTCGAGTTCCAGCTTCTGAAACTCCAAAACGTAGAACATTGCTAAACACCGGCGTAGGGCAGTTCTGCTCTGTCGGGCAGGCGCGCGCAGCAACAGGGAATCACGGTGGCCGATGCTTGTGTTGAGCATACATAGGTTTGGCAGTTTCCAGCCGGGACCCAGCCGCTTCTCTGTATGGCAGGTGCTGTCGTCGACAACCAACGACCCAACATCAGCCCTTCAAGTTGCGAAGCAGGCGATGCACCGATGCAAGCATGCAAGCATGGGCATGTCTGCCCTCGATGCCTGTGCAGAGAGCTGACCAGGCCGACGTCACCATCATCGTAGCAGCGACCACATGTGGGGAGAGCGCCGATCGGCTAAATCTGTCCTTGGACGGAGGCTAGCGCCGCCCTTCCCCTTCCCCTTCTGCGCAGGGGGGCGGGGGGGCGGGGGTCGACGTTGACAGTTAGAGAGGAGCTGACGATCTCATCGCAACTGTTTCGGCCGCTGCAAAGCCCGAGCCCCGAGCCCTCTTTGGTGGCCTCCCGTTGGTGGCTTTGCGGAGTTTAGCCTTGGCAGGCGGACGGTGGTTCTCGTCCAAGCTCCAGGAGCGAAAGTCTCAGACGCTCAAAGACTACCGCTCTGGCAAGCACTGGCTCTTGCTTCAGGCTGTCGTCATGCCATGGAAAAAGTCCGTAGACGCTATCCTCGTTCTGTTTCTTGGGGGTGAGGCTCTGGCGCAGCTCTGGTTCCGACATGGGCCATCCTAAGTGCACAGAGTGCCAGGAAACCGGCAGCGCTTGGGGACGAATCCTGCAAGAAGCACAGCCGTTGTTGCAGGGGAAATGTGACAGTGAGCCGATGCTTCACCACAAACGCCTTTGTTTGAGTCTTCCCAGGTTTGGTGACGAGGCGCTGCATCTTCATGTTTTGCCTTTGCCTTGAGCCGTGTCATTGGCCAAGAGGCTCCCAGCGGCCGGCTCCCGATCATGATGCCAGAGACCGAGGCAGACTCCATCCCGCCAGGGCCCGAGAGCAGACCTCCCTGGGATGGGCCGTGTTCGGTGGATTTTTGTTTATGTGCGGCTCTGGCCGAGGCCGAGCCAAGCGCTGTGGGGCGCCCATGGATTTTGCGTTTTTGGCCGTGATATGCCCTTTGGGTGAACGAAAGGATCGTGGACTACACCGAGGGCCTGCGCACAAGCTACAGGACCTGCTGCAGTGCAGTGTAGGCCGAGGAGGTGGAGGGCTTGGAGCCCTGGCCCTGAAGGAACCCGAACTTCACGGCGGCATTTCCTTTCGGACACGGTCTGACGTACACGTCCTTTGAGCTGCTCAGCTACGAGCTTCGCCGCCGGATGTCTGCTTGGACTTCGGGTACCGCTCAGGTACAGGGATCCCATCCTGGGGAACTGCAGCCTGGAGGTCTTCCTGCAAAAGCTGGTACTGTGGGGGCATTCTCTGCCTACGACATGCTGCAGGCTGCGGCTCCTGTGGATGTGGGACCCCAAGGTTTCTGTCCCCACGATGGAACAGCAGAGAGCCGTATATGCCCAAGGCCTTCGTGTGCCTGCGCCTGGCGGTTGACAACGTGGGTCTCCGGGCAGGCAGGGTTGCTCGGCCTTTGCACCTCTGTGACAATGCGATCCTAGACAGGCCGGACAGTGGTCCAGAGCTACTTGGAGATGCCAGCTCAGGTGCATTTCTGTCCTCTTTCGTGGAGTCGAAGACCCCGAATTGTCGAGCATCGTCTTTTGATTCGGGTGGGTTCTACGAGGCACACCGTGTAGGGATTGCCAGTGAAGTTGCTGAACGCAGCACGAGGCCGGCTATCCGACTCCAATCTTGAGGGGATTCCGGCTGCCTGGCTGCATGCTTCGCTGCCTCTGAAACCACCCAGAGTGAAGAACACGGGCTCCCGGCCAGTGCCATCTGTGGAGAATCATGCTCATTGCACATCTCGTGAAGGTTTGCAGCTGATGCTATTAGTCTTGTACTCCTTGTGATACTCTGCCGCAGGCCTCCTGCACGTCTAACAGTCCAAGTAAGTTACAAAAGATCCAGTTCTTCGGGCCCTTGCCCTAGGCTTTTCAGGAGCACCACAATCCCGTTGACCTTGTTGTTATGCCCAAGCTCGTGGGACGACCTTCTAGCCCAAAGGGTTTAGAAGGTTCAAGGTTCCAAGGAGCCGGAGGGGTGTGCAAGGTCGTCTTTGATGGTAACATACACTATTATAATTTTTATCATTTTTCAATCTTAGTGGTTGGAAGTGCTGCTGACTGCTATAAGGAAGACCGGTATGATTCCCGCTGGCAGCTCCGAGTCGGTGCTGCTTCACTTCACGGCCGCTTTTCTCGTCTTTGGGGCAGTGGCTGAGGGGAATCTGAGAGGGTCTAGGACTCTAGTACTCTAGTATGTTTAGAGGTTTTGGGGGTTTCGGGGTTGAGGCTCGGGACTGCGTTTCGCAGGCTGGTTTCGAGTCCGAACTTCATGAGCAGTAGCGAAAAGTCTTGAGCCCCATCAGAAAGGTTTGAGAAGGAGATGCCGTGTTGGATTTTCAGGACATCCGAAATCAACAGTTATTTGTGTTGGTCGGACTGCCGTTGGCATGTGTGTTGCATTCGGCTGTCTGCATTGGCATTGGCATCGGGTCCTTGTGACCGTTGGTGATGTTCAATGTTGAGTGTTGCGCGTTCACGCATTGCCGTGTGCGTTCGCCGCTTGCGATCTGATGCCGTCTTCGTCATGCCTTGGGCGTCCTGCGTGGTGAGTGTCCTCCGTTTGATTTGTAGAGCAGCCGTCCTTCCTTCGAGACCCAGCTATGGTATTCTTCATGTAGCTATTACTTTGGCTGCTTACTGCTGCTGGCTGCTGCCAGTGCTGCTGCCGCTGATGGTAGTCTTTCCCGCGACATCAAAGGCTGCAGTGCCAGTGCCTGATCATGATCATGCCTGATCAGCATTTCCACGTTCAGAGTTATGGTAGGAGATTTAGCTCAACGGTGTTCGGAGTCCCAGGACGGGGGGGGCATTTCTTTATAGATTGCCTTTTTGCAAAGAACAGGCTCGGCCCCAGCCTGTCGCCACAGCCGAGGCGCGGGATCTGTCGTTCTATGAACCTCTGTTTCAGCGGTGGCCTGGGTCTCGGTCACACTATTTGTGCTTGTTCCCGAGACCTCTTAAGGGTCGCCTGGCTTCCAAAACTCGGGTGCTGTCGAAGCTCTTGCAGTGTAAAGGTGCTGTAGGATAGAGAGGGTGCTGCTTTCATGCGGGTTTCGAGAAGTTCAACATAATCCACTGCAAGTATTCATGATGAAAGTGGAAAAGGGCCGGCGAGTTTTTCGGCTGATAGTCATAAGGGCTCCTCACAACGACAATTGACAACAAGACTTGCGACGAGGTTGCTGGAGGTCGCCTGTCGGAGCGAAAGCTTGTTTGTTCAAACAGTTGCCCCTGTAGATTCGCAGAGCGAGTATGATGATCCAGCTCCGAGGCCCTCACCGGACCCAACAGCCCAGCTATATTTCATCCCTTGAGCCTTGAGAGCTACTGAGAAAGTCAAAGAGGGGCAGGGGACAAGGCTCCTACATGACAGTTTTTCACTGCGGCTGGCCTTGAGGGTGTGGCTCCCTCCTAGGATTATGCCTGGCAGTCTTCGCGCTCTAGTGGGGGAGCTGGCGCCCCAGATAGCAGCAGGCTTCATCGAATCTTTTGCCTGCAACGTGGCTTCGGAAGGAGGAGTGCGCGGCAGAACGTTTGCCTTGAGCGGATTTCAACCGGAGGTCTTCCAGAGACATCAGGCTGAGTATCCCGATGAGGATTCCACAAGCTGCAGGCTGGCGCAGCAAGCTTGTCTTCAGCGGTGGCTCCTGGGATTTGCGGTAGACTGAAAGAAAGATGCAGCCGTAGCACCACCACCATCACCACTGCCACGGGGACGTTCTGTTTCCGCTACTAACTACGGACGATGGTCAGGTGGAAGACGATGATGGGGATGCTGACAATGATGTTGCTGACGCCGAGTTCTGATGCTGATGCTCGATTTTTTTTTGTTGCTGCTGCTGCTGCTGCTGCTGCTGCTTGCGACGATCATGATAATGAACATGGTTGCCAGCTTTCCATCTTCCAGGCGGTTCCCCCAGTCCGTCGCGACAGTGGGCCGGGGTCCCAGTTGGCTGCTCGCCAGGGAGCTGGAACCCGTCTGGCTGAAGTGACGCTCGTGAAACTTCTCCCACGGAGACATGCGTTGCCGGCGATACGTAAAACGATCATGCTCATACCACTCGGCACAGAGCCAGCAACAATTTCAGTGGCGGTGCCGGTAACAACTACCAGAACTGGGCTCGCAACTGTTTTGGTGTGCCAACAAGGCACCACATGTGTCAACAGTGTTGGCAGCGACGATAAGCTTGTGTTTGTTGACTACCGTACCCCTCATACCAGCATTAATATTAAGGTACGTCAGGTTCGTAGCAACCGGGTTCATCCTGTTTATGTTCAGTCGGGATGGCCACAAGTATCAGAGGGACGATGTGTCTTGTTGGTGCCGCGATGCCAATGCTCGTGAGGATGATGGTGGTAGTGGCCAGAAGACAGCGACAATCACAAGAACAGCCACTATTGCTCTGCCAAGATTGAAACGGGTACAGCTCAGAAAGTAATGCTGTCCATGTTGATAGAGCAGCAACGACAATCTGATAGCAATGGCACTTTAGTGCTGGGAGTGGTGTTGAGAAAGGCGATCTTGGTCGACGAGACAACGATGAGCGCCACAGTCGTCGTACAAACAGAACAGCAGCAGGAACCGTAATCACGGTCGTTTTGGACATGTGCAATAGTAACAGTACTCTCAATGATGCTGCTGCCGAGACTGCTTTCTGGTGGCTCATCGCCGTCCTCGCGGCCATCGCGTTGATCGTCCCTTTTATCTTCTATGCCGTGATGAGGCGGGCTGGGCACAAACATGACCAGGAAGGGTAGGAGAGCGCTTAGCAGCCCTACCATTGACGGCTTGAGGATGATCCCGGCAACCTTGTGCTTCGCATCGGCCATCACAGCTAGCACATGCACCGCCGCTCTCGCAAGAAGCTGTAGCTAGAGCGGAGTCTGGCAACCGTTGCAAGGCATGAAGCGTGGGCTGCAGAACAGAACGAGTCAACGAGTCAGCATGTCTTTTTGGTTTGGCCGTGGCAGCGGCGGCAGCAGTCGTCTCATCGTCGGGGCACTGGCAGCAAACGAAGCATGGACCAGACGATTTTGCTAGGTGCGAAGAGGAGAGAGAGGGAAGAGCAGCCTTATCGTGCCAGGCGAAGACCGGATGGGACGGTCGAGGATTCCAGCAGCGAGCTCTCCGAGTTCAGCGGGTGAAAAATGCTGCGAGAGACAATTCTTGCACCACGCCCACTCTTAGCTGAGCGCCAGAACTATTTCTGCTGGCCTTGGTCGCCATTCTTCACCCAGACGCGCAGAAGAACGACAAGCAAGCATAAAAGGGCATAACACCCTCAGACGATTGATCGTTGCAGCCAGGCTCAGCTAGGCTACCTACACTTATGGACATTTGGCACACCGCTTCACGGCAAAGCCTGGTGTTTCAGGCACTGCCCTGCCCCATTTTCGCATACAAGGTTGTTCGACAAGTGATCCAGCTCTTGAGCATGGGACTGCAGATGGACTTCAGGCAAGTTGTTTCTCTGCGGCTCCCTTATCACAGGTCCTCGGTGTCGCTGTGAGGTAAAGGAGCAGATGCAATGCACAAGCGGTGCGAGCCCTCAGATAGCGAGGACGAGAGCCCGATCCTCAGACCTGAAGACCTTGAATCGGCAGAGCATTGCCTGTCAAACTGATTTCCGGGGTATTTTCGGGAGGCACCGAGCGGAAGAGGGCCCGACTTCAGCGAGCCCTGGTGGCGGGCACCTTCCCTGAGGGATCGGACCCGTTCCCAGAGCTTGGCTCTCAGCATCAAGCACTCGGACTGCATCCTGTTTTGCTTCATTCGTTGCGTGAAAAGGTCGGCCCTAGCTCTTAGCTGTGGATCCTGTTGAGCCCTCAGTATGTTCAGGAGAGTGCTCATGCTTCGCACGCCTCGCGCCACCACCCACAGCTTGGCAGCGTGCCATCTCACGTACTCGGCCGCAGCTGAATGCCAGCACTTCCTAGTTGAAGTGTACAGGCCAAGGGCGAAGCCATGGCGACCTTTCCCAAAACAGCCAACAAGATGCAGCCCCCGCAGGCGACGGGGCCGATGCAACCGCCGGTGCTGCTACAGCAGCCGATGCAGTCCATGCACGCGGTGCAGCAGTCGCAGGCAATGCAGCAGGCACCGCCGACATACAAGGCGTGGCACACACTTTCTTGGCTGAATAGTTGCAGTACTTAGTGAGAGGGTCATTCCAGACAATCTTCTGTGCGTGTTCCCTTGTCTTCAGCACTCTGCCAACCTGGTTGGAAACACTGAAGGCATGTGCAACAGTCAATGGCATTCAACCAAAGATGAGGTTGGGACTGTAGACAAGCGCTGAAGGCATTCGCTGCCTCCTGTGTTTTTCCAGCACTGCTGACATCTCACACACATCGACGTATGCAAACGTGCCGTTTGTGTGGGATCTTTGCGATCTAGCGTTTCCCACCAAACAACTGCCGTTCAGGCAACTGCCGGCCCCGAATTCGAATTTGACCAGACTAAGATCTCTGAGTGGCTGCAATTCTGCCTGAGGTACCCAGAGTACCAAGCTAAACACAACGGTCATTTCCCCTTTCGCGACACAGCAGTCCCTCACCAAAGCTACTGAAGTGTCCTCGAGCACTCAGAGGTTGTCGTTGCTGAACTGCTGTTTCAATACTTTAGAAGAGGCGAATCTGCACATACTTGCAAAGGCATAGTATCCCGACTTGCCCACTTCTTCCTCTAGCTGGAAATTGCCGAATTGCCGACTGCATTCTGCACGCTGCCGCAAGGCCTTCTCCGGACCGTTTTTCAAGGAGGACTCTTCTGCCCGTGCAGTGCGAACTCCGGAGAGCCCAAGAGCAAAATTCCTTAGGGCCGTAGGGCAGTGCAATTCGTGACACAGTTGCGATGCTAAGATCGGAGCTAATTCTGACTTGGGTTAGGGTCCTTGCTTCAGTGTGCTGGACCGATTGGTGTTTATGATTCGGCTGGCTTGTGGACCTCAAGCTGCCAGAGACTTTGTGTAGAGTCTACAGTACAGTCAGTACAGTCAGCACATTGAACTACATGTGTGGGAGAGTCAGCAGCCAGCAGTTGGACATGGAGGTTTGTGGCGTGGGGTCGAAGTTGGGGGCCGTGTGAGGACCTCCAAGCAGACCGGTACAAGACGTCGCACGAGTTCTTCTTGGACACCGGACTTCTGAATGGGTTTTGTCGTCGTGGACGACGCCGGCTGCAAGAGATCGAAGAAGCCACGAAGCTGGGCACAAACAGCGTAAAGAACCCCGAGCTAACATGTCCGGTGACTTATGGCATATATAAAATTGGTATGGGGTGTAAGTTTGAAGTCCAGTTTTACTCTTCGAACGCATGGAGCTACTGGGACGAACAAAGACATGCGAGTGACGAGAAGGTCGGGAAAGGCACTGCTTTTTAGTGGGTTTTTTCTGCACATTTCGACTCGCAGTCACGGCTCACATCCTTTCATCGATGTCTAGGGGAGCGGCATAAGCATGGTTGAGGCAAGGGCATAGCGATCTGAACATGGAGCCGCGCACAGCCATGCGGATGGAGAAGCGGAGAGCAGCGTTTGTTCTGCTGGATATAGCACCACAGAAATGCGGGCACGCCTGTTTGCAAATGTTTCAATCACATGTTTCGCCTTGCATCCATGTGGCGACAGAGCGGGTGCTTACCACTCCCAAGGAATGCCACCGTGAAGCTTGACCGTAGCCGTGGCGTGCTGAAGGCGTTTGGCACCATAGAAGCCATCCAGCAAGTGCAGCAGCAGCTGGAAAGCATGATGGGCCCTCGCAAAGAGATCTCACGTGCCGCGTGGGCTGAGCTTATGCGCACGAGGACCCAGGTATGATGTGGCATGATGTCCTTCTCGATGCCTGCCTTACCTGCAATTTCCTTGCTGTTTGGGACCCCTGCCAGGACAGGGCAAGAAGATGGAGTAGCGTTGCAGCGGATTCAGAATCAAAGTGGCTGCCGGTTGCACATCGAGCGATCCAAGTCTGAAGTGAGGCTGTTTGGCTCCAAAGAGGCCGCTGCAGTGGCAGACCGGCTTTTGGACGACTTTCAAAAAATGTGCATGGAGCGGTTCGTCCCATGCCCCAACAGCGGCATGTTGGACTTGGACCGCCTCAACGAGATGGCACAGGCCAGTGGAAGTACTGACTAAACTGTGACATACTGTGACGGTTTAAGAGAGGTTGCACAAGCGGTGGCCAGGTCCTTTGCGTCACGTTTCGGCTGGAAGAAAACGTGATCTTCATCCTTGGGGTGGAAGACGTGGTGGTGGCCGCAGCACAGGAGTTGAGCAAGTACCTCTCCAACCCCGGAGCTTACAGAGCGCCAGAAGCAACGGATGCATGTGCGAAAATCTCCACGAAGGTGCTTCGGCCGAGCTCTTTGTGCGGAAACTCGTGTGCACCGTGACAGAAAGCGAAATGGAGAGCGAGAGAGATAGAGGGAAACGGGGAACAGGTTCGAGTGGGCTTGAAGCCCGGGCGACTTGACCGTCCCCTGCGTCCGGGAGAGATGGGTAGGCATTGGCATGCTTTCGCGCACAGGGAAGGGGCCCTGGCTTTTCTGTTGCCACGAGAAAGGAAGAGGAAGGCGCGAGGTGGAGCAGGGAGATGCTCTTGGGAGTTCCGGCTTTTGCTCGCAGCTCTTCGCAGGCACAGGCGGTACTCCTTCCTCCACGATTTGTTCGTGGCATGTGCGATAGGACAGTTGTGTGCGATGCATGTTGCGATTGGTCTGCTTTGTGCGTGAAAGGGGTAAGTGCGCGAGGCTCGGGTTCTCTGGAGTAATTAGGCGGGCATGAGCGGTTAGGTTGAAGAAGGCTCCTTACTTGTCATGCCGTCGTGGCCAACCGACGGCACACCTGCAGGGGTCGCGAGTGCATGTGGAGAGGTTCCTTTTTCTGAGCGCAGGAATGAATCCTTCGAAAGAAAGGCAGAAAGAAAGAGACAGTCTTGCGTGCAGACTTTAGCTGGGACAGGAAGCACAGCACGTGACGAGGTGTCCATGCTTTGCAACCTGGATGCCAGCCCGGGGACGACTACCGCATCGGGTGAGGTCTTCGAGAGTGGCAGTGAGCTGGGAGCCGATTGGAGTCCTTCACAGGCTCAGCATCAGACCGAGAGCTCTGCGCGCTGTAGCAATAGCAGCAATAGCACTTGGCATGGGTAGGGCCCCCCCTGCTGAATCCTGGTCCCGCAGGGGCAGCAGCCAGCAAATTCTCCCGGCTTCGGTGTCCTGTCCTCTACTCCTCCATGCATGGCATCGCCATCGTCCTATGGCAGCCCGGGAGGCCTTTCTGCCATCTGTTGCTCGCGCTGCTTGCATGGTAACACATCCGTGTGCATAGAACTGCTCTTTTCTCGCCTGAGGTATGCAGCAGCCCCTGATGCCACGGGGGATGTTTGCCGATCCAGATGGACACCATTGCAATCACTGCGGAGCGCCACGTTTCTGTGGCCATTGTGGGAACCAAATCTGGACGATTCAGTCGTCAGGCCCGTCCCGTTTCACGGAAGGTTCCCAGTGAAATCGCCTCGGCCCGGGCAGGTGCCCCTTTGATGCTGACGCCGGCAACCCCTCAAATCTTGTCAATGGAGCAGCAGCAGAAGCAGAACTTCGCGCAGCTCCAGCCCAACTATTTCCAGGTCTGCGCGCCGCAGGGTCCTCATGGTCTCGCGGCGGCACAGAGACTGCACATCAAGTCACTTCCGAGACTCCACGCTTGATGCAGCCGCCCCTGTCACCCAGAGGTGTCATGGCAAGCATGGGACCACTTCCAGTCGGTCGCTGAAAAGTTTGGATGTACGGTGAACATGGAGTTCTGTCGGCCCAGAGGCAAGGGTTTGCCAACGGTCACTGCAGAGCGGGCGAGAGGACGCGATGCTCATGCCTGCTCAGCTGTAGTTTGATGATCTGATTGCCTGGAGGCCAAATTTTCACGGTAAACAGGGCAAGATGGTGGCTTAGATGAGAATTACATGCCCCCGCCTTTTGGTGAAGAGGCTACACCTCCGAGCTTAGCCGCTTTGGGCTCCCTCTGCCCCAAGGAGCCCGCATCTGCTTCCGGCCATTTATTTTTAACCCGTCGCTGGCAAGCACGAGATCTGCAAATGACCTGAGCCTAGAATACAGTTCCAGGCATTTGCGTCAACAGTCCGTGCTGTGTGCGTGTTGATGCTTCTGAATTCGAATTCTGCGTTCTTCGCTCGCCCAGGAGATTTTCTGCCGCTTCACAGTTGGAGGCCCTTCCGCTGCAGAATTTTTTGTAACGCGGGCCAGGTTCCTCTCAGAGGAACTTGGGCCCTCTGGAGTCCAAAGGACACGCTGCCTTCCAAAGCTGACGCGTGCTGCCTGTCTTCCGTGCTGCTAGGGTTTAGGGAGGTTTATATCGGGATGTAGGGTTTAGGACTGCTGAGCACTCCATTCCGAGAGGCGAAGGACGGCAGGGGCAAGCAGCATGCACAGGAGAAGCATGGTAGGTTCAGGGAGTCCTGTGTGGCACGTAGCCAGATGCCAGATGCTTCGGTTTTCACCGAACTTTTCATCGTTTTATGTGGCTGGGAATCGCTCAGAGAAGACGCTCCTGTGAGCGAAAACCCGCGATCCAGAGATCTGAACTCTGAAAGAGGTCGGATCATTGGGTCGGGGTGGAAGAGGTAAGCTGTCGAATTAAGGTCGGGGCTAGCATCGCAGAACAAAAAGTGATGGTCATAGAGTCTCAGTGTTGGCACGAGAAGGCTCACTTTTCGCTGTCGCTGTCGTTTTGATCGTTCTTGCCGACTTCGACATCTCTCTGTGGATCTTTGTTCAGTGGCGGTTAGGACTGCCGTTATGGTAAATGATGGTGGCTAAGGGTGCCGATGATGGTCATGCTGTTGGCGGTCGTGCTGATGCGTTGCTCCGAGTTGTTGTCCGTGATCGACATTGGTGCCGCAGCATCTGCAGGCTCCGCGTCACCCGACGATTTAAAGCAGGGATGCAGAAAGCGTCCCCGGCGCCGTACAGCCCTGCTCCGGCGAAGGCGACAGATTCGGCGCGTAGCGCTTCCTACCATCCAAAAGAAGGGTCCGTTCGTCGTACCATTTTGGGGTATCCGTCGGGTGTCGAACTTGTCTCTGCTTCCCACCGCTGCTGCTGCCGTTTCCAGCACAGCCAAGACCACGACTGCTACCCACCACGACGACGACTGACTTTAGAACGTTTGAAGCCTCGCCGCGAGTATGCGAGTTTCCAGAAACACTCCCTCTTTGGTGGTTGCAGCACGTCTTGCTGTTGGCTGCACTTGGACGACTTGGATGCACTTGGTGTCAGGTGAATAGGACCTTTCAAGCCCTCAGCTGACTACGACGACCCTTTGCTGACCCTTATCGCAGCTACTAATGCTTTCGTAGTTGCTGTCGTCGGAACAAGCCTGCGATTCCAAGGAGCTGCTGTCATTGCATGTATCTTGAACACACTACCTTACCTTTGTCTGCTTTCAGGCAGGAGGAGGCCCGAATGTGTAAACAGTGTAAATGCTTGACTGGTGATTTTTTGCGATGACCGCCACACACTACTGCTAAATGTTAATTGGAATCTGTATATAGAGCCCGGGTTTCCAGTGGGCAGCGATGCATCCCAGAGACACTTACTTGGCAAAGTGGTGTTTCAGTCCTCGTGGATGCAGGATCTGCTCGGATGCCAAACCATGTTTGCAAGCCAAGAAAAATGAACTGCTTGAGCTTTGGAGGTTCTGCACTTGATGGCCTTGTCGCTTCGGGCTCACATGTGCAGGGGCATGTGTTGAGAGGTGCGACGCCATTGTGGAAGACAGCCGCAAGCCAAAAGAACTCCCCGAAGGTGCTTGTAGGGTCATCTAGTTCTTTGTGAGTTTTCAGGTGGGAGTTTCGGAAAACAGAGGTCTTTCATATCCGCAAATTCGGTACTTGCTCAGATTTTTGAGGGGTGTGGGTTTCGTGCATCCTCGGAGGAGGAGAGCCGCGCTCCGCCACGGCCTCCCTTGCGCGACTTCTCTGCCCCTCGGCGCAAGAAAACCGTCACAATTGCGTGCTAGATGCTGCTAGATAGCAAGCACTCACACATTATGTATGTACATATATATATATATATTATATATAATACCTATGTTTACATTGAATGGGGGTGAGGGAGGTGAGATGGGGCCCCTGCCTCCGCCAGCCCCCCCCACCCCCCCCCCCCACCCCAGCACACGCCAACCCCAAAACCTATATGTATACCCATTTATTGGTTTGTTCACGTATGTTGTTAAATATTTTGTGTATGTTATGTGTGTGTACATTAGATATGAACATGTACGTTTATATAGTTATACATACACATGCATATGTTCGTATGTAGGTATGTATGTATGTACCTGGAAGGGTGAGCACGCTTTTCCGCAGAAGCTCTCCAGAAAGAGAGAGCCGCACATCAAAGTTGTGTGTCAACTGACGCGTCGCAAAGACTTCTTTGCCGCGTGGGAAGAAGTATGTATGTATGTCTGTATGTATGTGTCTGTCTATCTGTCTGTCTGTCTGTATGTATGGGCTTGTTGTGATAAGCCTGCATTTGTCTAGCTGTTGCCGTACACCTCACCTGACTCGCCCGACTGCGTCGAGCGCGAGTGCCAAAAATGTATGTATGTATGTATGTGTGTATGTATGTATGTATGTATGTATGTATGTATGTCATGCATTTATTCTTAAATTATGCATAAAAGTAAACATGAAAATAAATGAATGATATATATATATATATATATATTTTTTTTACATATAGATATATTATGTATGTGTGTATATAAAAATATATGTATATATATATATATAATGCATGTGTGTATCTTTTTCCTTTGAATCCTGCATGTTTATCATTATATTCTGATGCTTTCAATCGGATTTTGTTGAGGTGTAGCAGCAAACCAACAAAAGCGGGATGAGAGATTTATGTGAAAGTATACATGACAAAGTCCCAACTCCTAAGAGCCACACCTGGACATGTATATCTATTCATACATACACACATATATATATATGTAGATATATATATATGTATATATACATATATATATATATAGAGTATCCCCCATATGCAAGAGAGAGATATTTATAGATAGGCATGTGCAGAATCACATACATGAGAAAGACAGTGGAAGTAGTAAAGCTAACGCTATATAATGCATACTACATAAGACGTCATGTGCACAACACAGCCTCGCGAATTTTCAGAGTCCATGGTATGAGTCTAAGAGACATAAGATGTAAGGCAATGCGTCATGAGACGACATAAGATAACATAAGATGGTTACGAATATTCGTAAACGTGTATGTATTCCTTCATGCGTGAATGCGCGCACACGCATTTGCATATATATATATACATACATACATACATATACATATACGTACATACGCATACATGCGTGCATGCATGCATGCATACATGCATACATGCAGACATGCATACATGCACACATGCATACATGCATACATACATAAATACATACATACATACATACATACATACATGCACATATAAACACACACACACATGCATACGACATATGCGGGTTTCATGCACATACATGCACGTACCTTTGTGCACATGCATGCATACATGTTCTCATGCATGCACATATGTGTGCGCAGAAAAGCATGCGTTGTCACAGGTATACATGTAGATATTTTATCTATCAGAAATGAGAGTGGAGCACGATGTGGCCCGGTTTAAACACGAGCTCATCTTCAGGTTTCGAGGCCGAGGCCGCCTTGGCTCCGAGCCGTTGTGCCGAGGTGTCCATGCCGCGGCTCTCGCTGTCGGAGCGTCCAAGCCGGGGTTCAGCGTCAAGGGTTTAGGGTCCAAGCGCACGCTGAGAAAGGGTTGAGAGTCTATGGTTGCGATGCGACATTCCTTTCTCAATCCAGTTCTGCCAGCAGCCTCATCAGGACGTAGACTTGAACTTGTTGCCGCAGCAGGTGAAGGCACAACTGACTGTGTGCCCAAATGTGATCACGTCCGACACGGGACACTTATCTTCTCCCAACAGGCTGCCCTTGACTTCCTTGTCCTTCTGAACCCATGCGATGCCCTCGCCTTTGACCTTGAAGTGGGAACTGTTATGCGCAGGGTGCTGTAGCTTACACTCAGAGGGAGGCGTGGAGTGTTCTGCTTCCATGCCGAGATTGTGACCGATGCTTTGGCTGCGCAGCAGCCAACCTTGCTTCCTCCGCAGCAGGAGGCGATCCAATCAGCTTTGTGATGTCTTCCCACGGTTGGAAATTGAAGAGCATTTGCTATGTTTTTGGGTGCTGGGCAATGAGGAATCCTGGGGGTGGGGTGGGAAACAAGTGGGTAGATGCTCATGAACAATACCATCTTTGTGTACAAAGACTTGGCACAGCCGTGTTTTTCGTTGAAGTTCACCCTTTGAAGGCCTGGGTAGCAAGCTGTTCAGATGAGACTTCAATTTTTTTCACTTTCTCCTTGGCAAATGCACGTTTTCCATCCATCGCGGCACTCTTGAGGCCCATCGCGGCAGGCGGACACTGGTTCTGGACTTGGATGCGTCACGACTGAAATTTCAGTGAGGGCATTTAGATGGATATGACTCGATGTCAGTGAAAGCTCTCGGCCAGGAGACTCTGGTGCATTGCCACTGCCAGGCAGTTCCCAGCTTGGGGCCGCAGTCTCGGAATATGAGTTCGTGGGCCAAACATTGGGGGTCCGTGGATGGCGTCAATCAAACGTGAGTTCTGAAGTGCTGGCAGAGGTTCGAAAGGCGATCTCTTTTAGCGCTTTCGGACCGACCGTGATTCTCTTGGCGTCACCCAGGAGTGCCGACTTGGACTTGGAGCTCGAGTCCGGTGAGCCCAAGGCAGCCTTACCACCTGCATACATAGGCGCTGCATACATGCAAGCATGCATACATACATGCCGTATGTATGTACGTATGTACATATCTGCGTACCTGCATACTTGCATGCGTACATGGATACACATATATGTGTACATACAGGCATACGTCGACTTTGAGTCTCGAGAACTCGAGGGCTAACAGGCTGAAGGGGAGGAATGTGTTTCACGAGCTGCTGCCTGTTTTTTGTTTTAAAAGTGGGCGGCCCAGAGACACTGCCCGCGGAGGTAGTATGACACACCTGGTTAACCTGTTTAGATGTCCGGATATTTAAAAATCATTGCCGTATCATATCATATCATATCATATCATACCATATCATCTCATATCATCTCATCTCATCTCATATCTTACCATACCATACCATACCATATTGTAGCTCATCACATCATATCATATCATATCATGTGCGTTCATGCTGAACATGGGACGACTCGGAACCTGACAGCCACCAACTTTCCAAAAGCATGGTGCACATGGCGCACGATGGTTGCCTATAGAGGTTTCTGTGTCTACAGAAGGCTTTCCAGGATCCGAGGCATACTGGCACCACGCCCGTAAGAAAGAGACTCGTTGTAGGAAGCTGCGCAGGCTTGCCAATGCATGTGCAGGCATATAATATATAATATAGCATGGCATTGATCGGAAAGTGGAGACGTATTCAGGAGGCGTGGCACATCCCAGCTTGTCGTGAACCTGTCTAGGTCGTGATGAAAGCCAAGGTGTATGCGCTCAACCCAGTTCCGATGCTCATGACAGAGTGTCGTTGCACGGGGATCTGCGAAGGCGTGACAGCAAGAGAAACCGTTGGGTCACCATGTGCTTTGGGCGTGATGCTGGTCCCTTAGAAAAGGCATGCATCGAGCGACAGTGTCCGCTAAGGTGAGGCCGAGTGCCCGTCGCCTGTTGCTGTTGGCAGCGGAGAAGTTCGAAGCAGGGGCCACGGCAGTTGCCTTCTTGTGATTTGCGGAGTGTGTGCTGGAAGACTTCTCTGAGCGCCAGCTCTCGGTGCGTTCTATGCTGCAGGCCCATCGCGTTTCGGCTCCCTTTTGGGTTGAAGCGTTCGGACTAAGACATGTCTCAAGAGCGAAGTTTCCAGGCACCATGAACTGCAAGCTTTTCGCAAGACCCTAGCCCTAGCCCTTGTAGACTCTGTCTCGTTGCTTGTGGCAACCTAAGGCCGCGGGCTAATCCTGTTTATCGACCTGGGTGGTGTGCCGACGACCACGTAAGAATGTAGTGTGTGAGTGGCACATGATGCCTGAGAATGCCGAGCGCTACGACTTCAAGGAGCTCTTGAAGCTTCCGGTGGGAGAGGCCACTGATGTGGAAGAGTTCCTTGGCCCCGTTCAGGTGGCTTGGGTTCCCGGGAAAGGCCGGGGCCTCGTCGCTGCCAGAGACGTTGGTCTTGGGGAGCTCCTCTTCGTGAACCGGGCCTTTCAGGTGGCGGAGACTGGGAAGCTCCTCGAGGCCACGCTTCGGAAGTTGGAGGATCCAAGGCGATGCTCCGACGAGGAGTTCCAGAGCTTCTTCCGCCTCTCCTCCGGCCAAGGAAAGGGCCCCTTACCAGAATTCCCAGAGCTGAAGTGTCGGATGCGTCGGAGAGACTCGCCTCAGCCGGATGTGCCCTTGCGGTCTGTGAACCGAAGACTGGTCAAGGACATATTGGACTCGAACGCCCACGAGCTCGACACGTCAGATGTCGCCAAGTTGCAGTCGGCCGGGAAGCTCTCCTCCATCTTCTTGACGGCATCGTTGGTGAACCACTCCTGCCGCCCAACTGCCGCACGCGTGTTTCTTGGTGACTTGATGTTCGTGCGGGCAGCCCGAGACCTCAGAATGGGAGAGGAGATTACGGACGGATACATCTCGGTGCTGCAACCGGTCTTCGAACGCGTGGCGGGGATCCGGAAGAGGTACGGCTTTGAGTTGCACGAGGATCGCGGCGTCGTCGAAACAGCCCTGCTCCCCGAGCCGGAGGTGAGGGCAATGCTGCGGGAGATGGATGAGGTGGAGTCTTTGGAAGAGTTCCAGGCTTTGTCTGAGAAGATCCAGCGACTGGTCCATGGGGCCATTTTGCGGCTGCCGAGCGCTTCTGCAGCCGTGCAGCAGGCGGCCCAGCGACTGGGCCTTGGCCTGGGGCTTGAGAAGTTGCTGCTTGGAGGTGCCGGAGAGGTGCCAGTCTTAGTGGCCACAGCGGCACTCCTTGAGCACTTGGGCCGACTGAGAGAAGCTGCCCAAGCCTACAGCCGCTGCTGTTGGCTCATGGAGGAGCTAGCGCCACACAACGCCTACCATGCCAAGTGGGCATTGGAGGCACTGCTTTGTGCAAACCGCGCTGGTTTGCCTCTGGCAGAGTATGTTGCATATGCCGGCAAGGTGCTCGCATGTCACATCGGGCCCGGGACGCTTGAGACAGTGTTGCGGTGCCAGCTTGGCGAGAAGCGGAGCCGCTCCTTGCTGGCAGGTCACTCTGCTCAAGTCAGGAGCTGGCCACCTGGGGAGGTCGGCATCCTGCACACGCTGCACACGCACGGAGACCCCGGGTCCGTGTCCAGCATGGACCTGGAGTTCCACTTGGACGAGAAGGTTTCGCCTGCGGAGGTGGAGATCTCGGTGAACCAGATGCTGCTCTACGTGCAAGTGCGGCAGAAGTGCTTCTACTTGGTTCTGCCCGGAAAGGTGGACGGAGAGCCTGAGCCGATTCGACTCTCCATGCGAGGACGAAGGATCAAGGCATCCTTTCACTTCTCGGAATGAGACCGTCGCGCCGCGGGCCCGCCGCCGTGCTGCGACCATAAGGCTGCTCTTGAGATTGCGCCAGGTCAGACTGTCACATACTCCCCAAAGAAGATAAAGAAGAATTAATCGGAATCGGCTATCGGCTGTATTTTGCAAGATCTCGGGAGACTCACGGGGCTTTGGGGGCTCTTTCTCGGTAGAGTGTCTTGACAAGAGAGCCTCCTTGCAGCTGTATCGGCCCGTTGATCTGGGGGCTAGGAGCTCCGGCAGGCGCGGTCAGATCAGATCTTTCAGCTCCACAGCTGCACACTCCTGCACACTGCCGCACACTGCTCATGCCCCCCTGAGCTGTGTCCCGGAGTTGTAAAGAGCAGGCTCCTTGCGGCACTCCTTTTTTGGGAAGGCCCCGGCTCAGTGCGGTGGCCCTGCGCAGCTGCCCTCATCATGGCTTCTTGGGCTGCACGCGAGCGTTGGGGGAATGCACCGTCTTCAAGCATTCCCGAAGTGATCAGCAGGGCATCCTCACCCCACAAACCTCCCCAGACGGGACGACAGTTTAGGTCATTACCTATTGATGCAAACATGGACAGGTTATCAAGTTGATTAGCTAGCTGCAGCAGCAGTCACCGCTCTTGCTGAAGGGTTCCTCAGCACGAATCAGCTCCAACACACAGTCAGCCTTAGAAGGCCTTGCAACAGTTCGGAACGATCTTCACGAATTCTGTCCGGGAATGGCCACGCCAACAAGTGACTGCAGAAGGGACATGGCGTGGGAACGACTTTGGTCTCGTTTGCTTCGGGCTATAGCTACGTAGTCTATAACGAGAAAACATGCCTATGACGTTTTTGAAGGTCGTCCAAAGGCTGTGGAACTTTGTGAAGCGGCACAGGCCGCTGATCCAGTTGGGGCGTGTCGAGCAGAAATTCCGAAAGCACTCGAGCATTATTGACGACAGGAAGAAGCTCATTGCGAGTGGCATCATCGCTGGTGGGATATGGTATGCCCTGCGTGCTGAGACCCCAGTTGTTGTGTCAGACGGCTGCTTTCTCGAGCAAGGCCCACCTCAGAGAGTGCCCTAAACACCGAGTCGCGGGATCTAGCGGAGGCCGTTTCTTCTGTTTGCCGATGATACCAGGTTCAGGTGAATCTGCGGGAAGTGAGTCGCTGCTTGGACCCAGCGCAAGCCCATGCTAGCTTCCAAGGTGTACCTTCCGAGAGCGCAGCAGCGGATGTTTGACGAGTTAATGAAGGCCCTGCAGGAAAGCTGGGCCCTCAGTGGCCCCCCCCCGGTAGAAGTACTGTACTTGTCCTGCGCGTCGCAGGGTCGTGCACTGCAGAGCTCCTGCAGCTACCGGCAAGAGTCGAAGTTCGAAGCATCCGCTGGGCTGCCAGGTGGCAGTTCCTCCGACGACAGCAAGGCGGGCACAGCAGCTCGTGGCGGAGCCTGTGCTGAGAGCAGATAGCTCAAAGGGTGCTCTGGATTTTTCCGCACAGGCTCAGCAAAGGAGCCGAGCGCGGTTTCAAGAGAACCAGCTCGTCTCCGATGACTACGCGTCCAGTGCTCAACCAGGGCTTCGCACGAAGAGCAGGAGGTCGTTTCGAGACTTGGGGACACAGTAAGCAGGACAGCAGGACCAGGTCGTCGTGTACTGTGGCCGCGATCGTGTAGTTACTCGGTCAACCGATTCACCTCCCAACTTCTTCCGAGGCGCAAAGGCCTGCGCTCCTACGAGCCAAAGCATGCCGGTGGGTGTCCCAGACAACGGGCCCTCCGCTTATCCCCTGTGCCCGTCTGCTGCAATAGTTTGAATGGTCTGTGGAAAGGCTGCTTCAAGATTGACAAGTGCCAACAGGAGGCCGGGCGGGCGACGATCTGGCAACAGCCCAGGTAGGAGCGGTGCGACCGGGCCTTCCGAGTGTAGCCCTGGCAGTTGCATGCAGGTCNNGGGGGGGGGGGGGGGGGGGGACGATGGGGCAACAGCCCAGGTAGGAGCAGTGGTGAGACCCGCCTTCCGAGTGTAGCTCTGGCAGTTGCAGGTGAAGGAAGCCAAGGCCAAGGACAAAAAGATCATTGCTTTCAAAGCGCTGCAGGCTCGGGAACCGGCATCTGTGATTCGAGGGCCCCCACGTGGATTCTCGCGTGTATGAAAATCTGCTATGCTGCTATGCCGTCTAGGAGGAGTGCCTGTCTCTGTTGGCCTCTGCAGTCTACTCGATCCACGCCCGGCTCTTAGATTCTGGTCTCGTATGAAATCATGCCAACCAGACATGCAGAACACTGCTGGCAGCATTGGCCAACTCAGGTCAACCTCCTGCTGCACCGCATCATAAACAATATCGCTGGCCGGGAGGCACTTGGAAGTTCTTCGGGTCGTCATGACATGCTGTTCTGACTCAGTGTACCGCCCATGGACCTATGGCGGCTGTTGTTGGATTCAGATCCCATATTCGGTGTCTCTCAGCGAAGATTTCATTTGCATTTGCATAGCCCCAAAATCCTGACATCCATGACTTGAAACTACCTAACCTAAGCAGGCCCAGTCGTTCCCTGCGGCATGGTGGAGCACAGACCAGCCATGTGGGTGTCAAGCACGAGTCACCCGAACGATGTAAGCAGAGCGGGTCTGAACGTTTGTAACGCCCTCCGGATTAACGCTATTCCTGGGCAGGTAACAAGGCGATGGGTCTTCCCGTATTTCAGGGCCCCTGCTCTTGAGTATGGGATGGCTGTTCTCTGAATGCTTCCGTCCTGTGTTCTTTGTTCAGTTTGCCGCTGTGGCGTTGGCCGTCGACGGGAGAATGATGAAATGGTTCATTCCTAGTTCAGGCTAATGTGCTGAGATTATCTGAGACTGTCGGACAGAACTCGCTTTGGTTGCCTTCGAGTGCGTGCCGAAACCACAAAGAGAGTATCCCTAAAGCCATCTAAAGCCTAAAGGGCCAAAAATCCCCAAGCAATTCAGCAAGCCATTCAGACGCCCTAAGCCGTAGTAAACCTTAGACACGAAACTCCTGCACCGGCAGGCAAGGGGGCGACTCTCCCAACAAGGCAGGGTGCCCAGGAGGCCCAGTTGAACCACAGAGAGGCAGATTTACCTACATACCCATGTACATACCCATGTGCGTACATACCTGCGTGCATGCAACCTTGTTGCAAAACGTAGCGGCTTCTGCAGCACAGGGTTCAGGGTCTGCCGTTGCTGTGTTTGTTGGCTCGCTTTCGCTCCTACTGTCGAGACAACCCTGTGCATGTTTCTGATGGTTTGGATTAGGGGATGGCATCGAGGCCGGCTCGCGGCACTTAGCTCGGGACGTTCCGGAGGAGAAAGGCACTCCAAGGCGTAGGGAGGGGGGGAGCCAGGCAATCCGAAAACCGAGAGGTGAACAGAAATGGGAATGCAAGGACACGGAGGCGGTGGCGGCAGGTTGGAGGCCAGAACGGTGGAAACCAGAGCAATGGCAATCACCCGGCAGTCGCTCATGTCGGTGGACGACATTTTTTTTTTTCGGAGTGGTTTCGGCTTTCGGTATGGATCTGGCGTTCGTCTTTCGGTATGGATAATGATGCTGTCGATCCTGCTGCCGTGGATGCTGATATGACCTCTACTGTTAGTTTGTCTCGTCATGGGTATCTCGTACGCTCACTTTCCGGCTTGTCTAGGCGTAAGAGTTGGCAGTGTAGAATCAGCATTATTCTGTTCTCGGGACTATCTTTCTCGTTGTTTCGGCTGGCTGTCTGAGGAGCGGGTGCGACTTCCAAGGCCAAGCCTTCAATGGAGCTGCACAGTACAGTAGTCCGATCAAGTCAGGGTACAGGTTGTGAATCCAATCTGAAGCCGAAATCATGCCGAATCCCTTGCAGCCTAGTGCAGGCCAATGGCGAGGAAGATGCATCTTCCATGAAGGAGCCTTCGGCCCAGCTGGACTATGGCTCCATTCCGCGTAGCCTTTGGCAGCGTGTGGCAGAAAGTAGAGTTGGAGCCACTGAACTCCCACGAAAACAGGCCGTAGACTCAAAGCTTTTAAGATTCTTATCCTCCTGCCAGTCAAGATTCAAGATGAGGATGAGGTCAAAAGAAGTGGTGGGGTTTCTCCTGAATCAGAATCCGAGGCAGCAAGAACCCGTCTCTGCCTGATTTCTCCCTCAGGTTGATCGACTCCACCGAGTACTTCCTGAAAGAGGGCCCTGAGAGAATGGCCGCCGCTGCGCGGAAAGCCGTCAAGGCACCCCGCCGGAGTCAGAGTGCATCTTAAAGGAAGATCCAAGCATAGCATATGGACAAGCCTTTCCCGTTCCCTCTCCTTCAGGGCAGGCCTTGCAGAATCGGCATGGGTTCCCTAGAGCCCTCGTAGCTCGAATCCGCAAGTGTGCAAGTCTCGAAAGCAAGAGGGCAGACCTCGATCGGGTTGGCACATGTGGACCCCTGCATATCCGCTTGCTTGTCGGGAACAGAAAAACCCGAAATACCACAACCAAGATCCCCGGTACCAGTTAATTTACCTGCCATGCGAAACGGAAAAACAGACTAGTTCATCCCGACGAACTTCGAACCCAGAACCTCCATAATCCAGTTGTTCAGAGTGTGACGCCATAAACCCTACGTACAGTTAGGCTGGTTTAGACTATAACAGACTAGGCGATGTTACAATGTATGCCAATAACAATAATAACAGTAGTAATAAGAATAATAGTAAAATAAGAATATAGGTTCTTAAACCCTGCATCGTAGGTATCGTCCTAGCCAGGCGGGAGGCAAAAATATAGGTTCTTCACTTACTTCTTACCGTCAAGCCGAAGAGGCTGCTGCAGAAGCGGTGCCGCTTCCGCCAGAATCCTCCGCCCCGGGCTCGGGGAGCGCCGGTGTTTTCCGGGGTAGATTCAGTAGATCCGTGATTTCGGCAGGTGAACTCTGAAAGCCTCTCCACCTTCTTCGTTGACGTCTTCAACCGCATGGATCAGGAGCTGGCATTTTGGCCGACGAGGGGCTTCCTGCAGACCCCTAAGCCTAAAAGGGGGCCCAGCAGAGAGAACGAGGACGTCTGGGAGAACCAGAAGGCCCTGTCCAGGAAGTCCGCGGCCCGGCTCGCAGAGGAAGGGCTCTTCTCTCCCAGGGCGCCTCGCTGCTGCCGCCGGCGCAGGACCAGGAGAAGGCGAAGAGGGCACCGTTTTGTGTGCTGTGCCACTGACTGGGCTGAGAAGGGATCAGGAAAGCAGCCCACTTTCGGCCCCATGGCTAGACTAGGCGCCATCGACCTCATTGTCTGCCTCTGACGTGTTACAAGTGTGGGGCTGCTCATCTCCACAACTTTTAGAAAATTCCCGGGCATGGCCTTCAGAGGACTAGATTAAAAGGTCCCCGTCCCTCCGGTCTTCCTTGGATCGGATCCGCACATAGCGCGGCCATGACCTCGGAGCTCCTGGGCACCCTGGGCTCGCGACGCTCCACGGTGGATCGGCCTGGGGCCTGAGATCCTGCCCCTTACTTTGATCACCCTACGTCCCCACAATTTGCATGTGTCAGGTGTGGTCAGACCTGGGAGTCCCAGCCCAAGGAGCGGGATGCAAAAATGCTCTTGAGCCTTCTGGTAGGGGGTGTCCTAGTGTCCTCTTCTGCCGTCATGACACTCAACAGGTAGGAGTATTGGTCCGAGATCCACTTCTTGCGGAGCTTGGTAGAACATGTCGGATGAGCCAGTCCAACTGCCTGGGTGACTCCAGTCTTGTATGACGTGTGACTCAGGGTGCATTCGGTAAACACGGGGCCGAAACCATTTTCCGTGACTCAAGTCTTGTGTGACTCAAGGAGTCCGAAGCGGATGTGGAGCCCTCGGCTTCTGCAGCCGTAGGCGCTTGTAACTTTTTGCTCGGTCTTGTGCCTGCCGGCATTTCCACCGAGGCCGTGTGCCTCCCTGGAGTCAAGTTTGGCGGTGCCCCGAGTGTAGCTGACTGGCTGAGGCCAGACTCAGCCTGGCCCCCCAAAGCCCTTAACGCACACCCCTGTCAAATCCCCTAGGCTAAGCTGGGGGACGGATTGAAGCCATGCCTGTCCTGCGTGAGTGTGTGAGTCGAAGCAATAATGCTCCTCCGCACTTCGGGTTCCTCCTGTGTCCTTTGATTATGTCTTGAGGAAGCTGCAGTGGCATTACTTGAAAGTTTTGATGTATCTTTGGTGTACTCAAGCTCCTCTTTAAGTCACATCAACCGACTCAACACCAATAACCTCGCCTGGCTTGTCCGAGTGTGAGCGACGCAAATGCTATGGTTATAGTAAGTAACATATGCACTTAGATATCTTGGCATGAACCATTTCATGCGTTTTGATTGCTTTGAGATGCTCAAGTTCTATATTGTTAATATGTCACTCTGTGCTCCGCTTCCTTTGTTTCTCTTGGCTCCAGGCGGAAAGCCGAGGAGATGCCGGAGGAAGACCTGGCCAAAGAAGAGCCGAAGCCTCAGACACCTCGGATGAGAAAGCGCACACATTTTGTGCCTGGTTTGGGCCTGCCAGATTTTTTCGATTTCCCTCAGGCGGGCGAAGCTTCGGGGTCTCTCTCTTCCCTGCTTCTAAGGCTTCTGGAGGCCCTGCGAAAGGCCCTGGACGTGCGCGGTGACGGGCCGTTGCGTGCAGCGCCCCTCTGCCAAAGCCTCAGCGTTGGAAGATTTTGGAGCGAGCATTCTGTGTTTTTTGCTGCCATGATGCCTTGCCGCAGTGTTGTTGTGTTGGAGAGGCCAACCCTCACAGGTTTTGGCCCAAGCCGACAGCACTGTCACTAGTCTCTAGTCAGATCAGACATCTGACGCATCTTGTTTGGCGGCTCCCGCAACCCGTCAGTGAACAGGATGCGCTGGTGTCAAGTGATCGAAGCGCTTGCAGGCGCTTCTGGCTTGGCTGACAGTGCAAATTGCGGATTGCAGATGGCACGGTGGAGACGTTCAGTCCGACGTCATGGAGGTGAAGATGTGCCACGCCAAGACGCCAAGTGCGGCCAACACGATCCCGTGAGAGAGACCTAGCTCGAACGGCTCATGCTGGCGGTGTTGTGCGACAAAACACAGGGCATGTCAGCCATTTACACCGAAACAGGCACGGGCAAGTCTTTCGCACCTTGCTCGCAGCCGCTGAAGTGGCCAAAACAACCACAGATTTCTTCGTGGTGCTGCAAAATGATCTGACGGACTCCCTGAGACTCTGTTTTCGCATTTCCGAAGTTAGCTCGCCAGCTTCCATCGCGACAAGCTTTTCTATCGCCTTGGACAAGAGCATCAAACTCCGTCTGGTTTTTGACAATGTGTTGGACGGTGGCGTCAGCAGCGACGCAGAGAAGGATATCCTCAACGCACTTGCGCTAAATACACCAATTCCTCTTCACAATACAAAAGAAAGCTACAGAGTCCATCGCCGGACTCAATGGCCGCACGACCTTCTTATCAGAACCACAAGACACACGATACGGAGCCTACAGATGGAACAGCACTGAAACCGAGAAGCTGATTCAAACATCCAAGAAGCCGAATGGGATGGACACAGCAACAATTTCGAAAGCCTCGCCAATTCCAGATGACCTTGGCGGCTGGAGACCTCGCCCTACGAAGCTGTTCATGAAATATGGTCGAAGGCCTTCGGCGCCTCGCCAACCAGGCCCATCTGCCGGATCTGCAGGCTCTGCAGGCACGACCTCAACGTCATCTGTGCAAGGATGGGACGGTCAGAGAAAAGGCTTTTCTTTGACCGTCCCATCCTTGCTAAAGCTGAGGCCCAAAAAGGATGGAAAGGAGTGTGAGCTGAAGGGCGAAAGGAGCCTTGGCTAAGCCGTCCTTGGTGGCTTCCAGCTCGTTGGCAATGCTGATTCAATCGACCCAGTGCCGCAGAACCTTGCATACCGGAAGGCCACAAGCATGCCAAATGCCCGAGGATGCTGACCTGGAGGCTGAGCTGGTAGAGAAAATGGGGTGCCATGACAAGGGCGTGGCTGACCACCAGTGCCACCGTGCATGCGGCTGCCAATTCCAGCAGCTGCATGAGAAGTGCCCAATGCTGCCGGTACAGCAGGACGAACTGCGGAAGCCTCCTTTGCTGCCGGATATCCACATGGAGTGAGATGTGAAAGGTGTTGTCGCATGTGTAGCTAGGTTCAGCATTTGTGCTGCTCCTAGTGCATGCGAGCTCCTTTGATGCCCGGAATTTCGAGAATCTTTGATTCGACTTCGGCAGGGCGGCCTTTAGATTTTTTTCGGATGGCCCAGAGTTTTCATGCAATCGAACTGTTTATGCATCCTACGCAGGCATGCACGAACAGCCAAAGGCTGATGCCGGAACCGTAAACATGATCCTCGCTCGTATTAAAGTCTGAAGCCCGATGAAGTGAAGGCATCCCCAGATGCGAGTCGGCGCGTCGGAGAAAGCTATGAACCTTGCCTTGTCGAGGGCGAGTTCTGACGTGCCCTGCGGCTGAAAGTCCCAGGAGCTTCGAAACTCGATGCCTGGGCCTAGGCGATGAGCTGAAGCAGCTTCGCGACGTGTCTTTCCGCCAGCGCCTTAGAACTGCGGAGAAGCTTCGACGGGACTCTTTGAGAGCAGCTCATGAATCTCTTGTAAAGGTCCACACGAGCAAAGTCTAAGTCCATCCTGTACACCCTTTAAACCGCAATGCCCAAGTTCTCTACGTGAGAGTTCCCCATGGTGCGGCAACTTGATGTCAGCAAGAATGTTGCATTCCCAGCGGTCCACTTCACTAGGCCACGTGAGTTGCGATGTTGGGCACGGGGGCAGAGAAGCGGCTGATTAAGCAGAAGACAAATTGGGATTTGAGATCCGGAGTGCCTTCGAAATCGCTTCGCGTTCAGCTTTCATTTTTTTGGGGGGGGGCATGCAGGCCTCGCGGAGCTGCAGCACGAGCCACGAAGCCGCAGATTTTTGGAAGGGAGATCTGTGAGAGAAGCGTCTGGGCGGGCTCTGAGGATGTTGGCGCAGCGAGACAGCCTGGGAGTGCAGCGCCAGGATGCGAAAAAGAGGGGGGGGGCCGCTTCAGGTGCAGGAGCTTCCCTCAAGTCCGCGCTTGCAGGAGCTTGCTCGCCGTGAGGCTGAGCTCAAGGCGCGTGCCCCATGTCAGCCTGACGGTGGAAATGCGAGTTCTTAGGACAGGTGCAGCAGTTAGAGCTCGAGAAGCAGCGATGGCAAGCCTCCGACGACATCTCGGGGTCGGCTGGAGCCCAGGCTTGGCAGACTTGCCGGCAGATTTCTCTCGGGCAGGAGTCATCCCATTCCAAGTTGGCTGGAAAGGAACTCTGACGGCACGATGCCCCTTGACAGCATGTTGCTCTTGGCTTTCAGTGCCCCTCCACTCATCGACTCCAGCAGGAATGTGGCCGTTGTTGGCAATTCAGGGGCCCGGGGCACGGCTTCTCGTACGCGCTCTTGTCGAGGATGGCCCCCCGCGGCACAGGTGGGCAAGTCCCTTCTGATCAACAAGATGCGGCGGATAAGACCTGGTGTCCCAGACTGGGCACCCACGGGGGTTAGGGAGACAACTCTACGCTGGCAGCTTGGCATCTCACTCTTTGGCTGGGCTGTGGGTTGGGCCTTGTGGCTGTTTGAAGTTGAGGTCCTACCTCCTACGGCTTCCCGCAGCTCGAGAAGGTCCGCTTGCCGTGAGCTCAGAGCGGAGCAAAGAGCCTGGATTTGGCCCCGGGACCCACAGAGTCTCACAGGTGGGATCTTCCGGGTGCCGGGACCCCCGGCTTTCCGAAGGACAGGAGGGCGGAGGGCTGGAGGTCCAGAAAGTGGGAGAGTTGGGGGGCCAGGACAGCTACATCCGCGACATGGGCCTTCGCTACTTCGACTCTGTCTTGAGCCACGGCATAACCGAAACATTGCCAAAACCCTTGCTGCTACTCCTTTGTCCCAGGATTGTCACGGCGGGACGCTTCACCTCTATAGACGAGGCCTTGCGAGCGGAGCTCGAGGCGTGCGGTGTGCCCTGGCCGCAGACATCGGACCCTCTGCTTCTTGGATAACGCGGTGTTATTGCTAGCGTCAGGTGCCATTCTTCATGGCACCGCCCCCAGTCCCGAACCCACCCCGAACTCTCTAGTGGAATGAGCTCGCGCATTCAGGTCAGGACCAAGATTGATCTCGATGTCTGGAACAACAAAGAGGACAACCAAATCGAGGAGGTGTCCATGCAGTTGTCCAGACGATCATTTCGAAGGGTAGTCAGCTCTTCTGAGGAAGCGACACTCGAGAGTATCCGCCAAGAGCTCTACAGACTTCATGGAGCCATCCCCTTATGGCCAATTCTTGTATAAGCAGATGCAGGCGGTCATCAGTGCATGCTGGTGAGGTGGATCGCCTGTACTTGGTATCATCCAGAGATCCAGACCGTTACCTGCTGGATCTAAGGCTCTAAGGCGTGTCCATGGACTGCAGTGCCAGTTTGCTTCGATCTCTTCCTTAAGCCAAGGCTACGACATGCCGGCCCTCCTGGCAGATGCATTTCCTGGCGTGAGGGCGCACCTCGAAGCCACGAGTTTCCTTTTCACAGGCGGGAGTCGAAGTGCCGTCTGCGGCTGATCGCAACTGCTACGGTTTTCAGAGGTGGAAAGGGAGAGTTTGGAGACTCCTGGTCAATGCCTGTTATCTGGCAGGATCCTCAGAGCGGCTAGTCATGCATCATCATGCCTTACACAAGTTTGATGGCTCTTCCATGTTTCTTCCAAGGTCGTCCACCGTCGCAGGCCAGGTGGGTTAGCCTTGTGGAGAGATACATACTGTGTAGATGGTAGATGTGGGTGGATCCGAGTGTGAAGCCAAGTAGGAAAGAAGCTTTTGCCGAGGTGTCCAGGGACAGTGGCAGGATGCCTTAGAGAATCTGTTGGGAGCTAAACGAGTCCAGAGTCGTGCGTCTCCTCAGCGCCAGCATTGCTCGTTGGCCTCAGGCTGTACATAGTTGATGGCACGGATGTGCACATCACACGTGACGACGGCCAGACAGCCATCATCCAGCTGACGGAAGCAGATGGCAAGGACGGGTGGCTGACGGTTCGCGTGGTGCGGAGATTTTTGGGTCTCTTCGACCGGCTTGAATGCTGCGCCGCTCATTTGTTGTTAGGTGTGGCTTCAAGACCGCTGGTACATTGATCTGGCGCCGAGTGCCCAGAATTTCGGGGTTGCTAGCACGCCTGCACCGGCCTTTCTTCGCCTAGATTCTAGGTGCTCTTTTGGCGAGTTTCCCCATCTCTGACTTCTTTTGGACGCAAGTTTGAAGCCCACATGCATGCCGATCGAGGTCTGTGGGCAAAGCTCGTGAGTCGTCGGAGCTTCGTTGGATACCGACAGATGCCTGGCATTGATTACGGTGAGCTCGTGAAGGCGCGCTTCGATCCATCAGAGTTAGTATCACCAGTACTGCACAGTTCACATCACCACGCGATAGCCAGTAATTCCTCCGTAGGATGCCAACAAGGAGCGCTTGTCAGCAATTTCAGTCCGCCAATGCGTGGCAGTACAACTGCAAGGACCTGACTGACAAGCCGCGAGTTTGGCGCTGGTGTGGATGAGCTGTCCGGATGTCATTCCGAGCTGTACATAGACAAACCCGAGACCCTGTACAGTTTCCCGACGTCTCCCTTCATCACTGGGTTGTGCTCTGCCCAAGGGGATAAGGCCTGAAAATATCAGCCAGTGGCATGCTACCTGACTAAGCGGCATTGGTGCAGCTAGGAGCACAACCGCAGATGCAGGTGGTGTCCAAACTCCATAGTTTTGTCCACCGTTGTAGGCCGCCTTACCTCCGGGAGACTTCTGATCAGGTTTTGGAGGTGCGGGCAATTCTGCACAGAAGCTGCAGCTGTCTGCGGCGGCCTTGCCCGGTGTCACTGCCACCCGGGACAAACACGGACTTTATCGCATAATCTCCGAGCAGGCTGCGCATCGCCACTGCAAAACGCGACGGCCCAGATGGCTTCACAAAGCCTTGTACATACAAGCGACCCTAGGCGAACTGTCGCGCAGCTGTGAAATTGACGCAGGTATGGACGTGCAGATGCTACTTTCTGTATTTCTTCTCCCATTCGTGTCGCTATGCATCCGCCTCCTCTGGTCCACCAAGCAGTGGGTCGACAGCTTTTCCAGGTGAAGGAGCTGCTAGACGAAGCCCGGGACTATTTGGACAGTCCACAGGCGGCGAAGGTCTTTAGGTTGCGGCCTCAGTTCGTCCGGGTTTCGGAAGTTTCTGAAAATGGTTCTGTTCGTTTCTGCTTGTTTTTCTACTGCAACAGCACCGTGATAATTTAATCTGGGGCGACGATGCCGATAGGCATGGTGAAGACCGTTTTCTGATTGTCATCATTGGTGTAGTATGGTGGGCCCTGGGTTTCTTGTAGGAGATGTGTGCCCAATGCTGACAGATTGGCCGTCCACGCAGCTGCTTACCGGCTGCCTGCGCAGCTGGCTGCGCTTCCTGGACAACTTGGTCTAAAGGCAAAAACCCGCCTCGATTGTCGTGTAATTGAAATTGGGGCCCTCCTTCCATGTCCGGAGAGGCCTCGCCTCTGCAGGCCCTGTCGATATGCACACCATAGCACGTGTATGGCACGTGCCATCCACATATCATGGGGTGCTGAGCCTTTTTGCTGACACAGGTCCCGGACGGCTCGGTTAATCTGGCCTTGCTTTTCGGCCCTTGCATCCACCTAACCAACGCCCTGCTGCGAGATGCCGCGGCCTCACTACTTCAGCCTTCAGACCGCAAGGTTTCAGACTGTTGGGACTGCTTTCTTCGTTCGAGTCCTGTCAAGGACATGGATCGTCTCCCTGCTGCTCTGCCTCCTCCACTACTCGTAGCAAGTAGTCAAGTCGTACTCGTACTCGTCGTGCTGGTTGTGTGTGTGTGTGTGTGGGGTGAAATGGTGACTGCAGCAGTCGTTGTCACGTTGATCGTCACTGACCTACTCTGTTCTCCAAAGTTCCAGTTCCATCTCCCTGCTGCTGCTGCTGCTGCTGCTGCTGCTGCTGCTGCTGCTGCTGCTGCTGCTGCAGACCCGACAACGATGACGGCTTGTTCTACAACTCTTATCGTTCGCATGGTTGTTAACGTCGAAAGGGTTGGTTTTGTTTCCGACCCCTGCTTCCAGAGCATGTGATGCGAGCTTCGAGTATTGATGTGGTGACCTACCATGCGCACCGAGGCTGATGGCAACGGGGCCGGTGAGACTGCCACAGAGGCTTGCTGGTTGGTTGACCTCTCTTGGCGTAGCGTAGCCGCGTAGCCTTCGCCGACTTTGTTGCACACACCTCCTTGCCTGACAGAAGCTGGTGCTTATGAGAAACTGGCAGGCGACGGTTAGATCCTTTGCCGACCACAAAGTGCGGAACTCGACCACACAGGAAGGGGAGTAGACGAAACGCAGCTTTGCCTTGTTTCTGGATGCCTCCACCAAGGCCATCTCGGATTTTTGCGAGCAGATCTACAACCAGCAGCCCCTTGCGAAGTGAACCCGGCAGCTAACGCTGCAACTTAGCGTCGGAAGCTTTGCCTCAAGTGAGATGAGGCAAAGCATGCAGGGCAACGTGTGCCAATCTCTGCAGAAGTCGCTTGCCACAACTGTTTAACCCTTCATGCATGCGCCTTGGCGAGGACCTGGGGGAAAGGCCCAGTGCCCCTAATTTAGTGTATTGGTTCCTGCACGGGTGCAACCGAGTCATCAGCCGTACAACGGCACTGGGCTCGCTCCCAAGACGCTCCCAAGATGTTTGGAGATTGCAGCCAGGAGCTCCAGAGTTCCCAAGCCGGTGCAGCCTGTGCAAAAAGGAATCAGCTTTGGCTCGGAGATGCTTATAGGATTTACTTAGGATGGACATCGTCGTTTTTTGGTCTGTTAGGGTCTTTGTGGTGGAGATCGGGAGCCCAGATCGCTCCAGTCCTGGGCAGAACCGAGGTGGTGGTTTTCACGGCCTCGGCTAGCATCTACGCTGACAAGGTCCTGGACTTCCTGGATCCAGGACTTCACGACAGACTGTCTGGTGTCACTGGTTTCATGGTTTCGAGCTGCACATCATGTGCTCGCAGTGCTTTTAGCCGTAGCTACTGAGCCGCGGACGACTAGGACGGATTCTCATCGCGCACCGCTTGTACAGAGAGGTCCGGGCCCGAGCTCTGTGACTTGGGCTCCCCTTTAAAAGCCTGCTCTGCACAGCAGGCTTGCACCGAGATTGCCGGGGGCCACTTCAAGGACGGCCCCAACCGTGTTCTTTCCTGCAACGTGGCACTTGGAACAGGTGTGGCCGCTTGTGAAGTCTCAACCTGCGATTTCGAGCTGCAAGCGCAGGACCTTCGAAAGCTGGGCAGGCCCATGAAGGCCACTTCCCAGCTGGCATGAGCACGCGCAGAGACTCCAGCGGTGCATTCACCAATCCTGTTGCATCTCTTGCGGCATTTGCATATCTCCTTCAGACACAAACCCTCGCGAGAAACATCATCCTGCAACGTCGGAGCCCATGAGACGCGCAAGCCAGATCATCCTCTCGCGGTTCTGGTGGGCCCATTTCTTTTGCTCTCGGTACGTTGGCTGCGTTTCTCTCAGCACTACCTTCGCACCAAACCCTTCGTCGGAAACCCTTGCGGACTCAGGCCGGCAGGATCCCAGCTCCGAACCCTAAGCAACAGCAGCAGAAGGTATGACAAATTGCACACAGATCGCTTTTCAACTTTGGAGCCTAGATGTGGTTGAAACCCCAAGCTTTAACGTCAGAGGATGTGCTTCTGGTCGACAACTCACCTTTGGCACCCGGACTTGTTCCAGAGAACGGACTTCTTGCGAAGCCCTCAGTCATTTCCGTATTTCACCATCCTGGTTAGGAGCTGGGCGAGGGCTTTGGCAGGGTGCTCCTCCTCGGATTGTTCAGGCGATAGGGTACATCGCACTTCAGGAGCCTGTTTTTTTGTGGGTGGGTGGGGAGGTGAGGAAGGCTATTTGCAGGTCTATGGAAGCTTCTGTTGCCAGCGCCAAGCTCTTGCTGTGCTTCATCTGTTACTGCTCATGGGTGCCTGCATGATTCTTACCGGTGTTTTCTGCAAGTTCAGGTAATCACAGTTTATTGTGTTGCTGTGGAGAGCTGCACCGACTTCCCTTTGACTTGAGTGCCCTGGGCCTTGTTTTATGACTTCTCTCCAGTGCTAGCTACTATATCGTGTGGCAGTACTTGTCGTTCGGTGACCTGCAAGGTGTCGAGCTGGTACGGCGATGACTGGCAGGAGCCGTGCGACCATGTCGTCTTGCGGGAAAGCTCGTGTCAGAACGTGCATGGGCCACGAGTTTGTCAAACAGCTCAAGTGCAGAATTGAAAAACCCAAGTCCAATGCAAGGCAGGCAGCTGAAGCCAGATTCCTGTATGTGTCCTACTCCTGTCAGCAGTAGGGAATCAGCTCATCCGAACGGGCGCTTTGCGCCCCACGGCCCATGGCTTCAAACCGCGTGCACCAGCTGTGTGGAGTCCAGGGCCGTCTGCAGTTTCTGGAGCCCCGGGCCTTCGTCGAAGAGCTGACCCGGCAAAGCTTCGCCATCGTCTCTTGTCCAGAGGAGCTGGCCAGGCCGGTGGCTTTGGCCATGCAACGCGCCGATACCCTCCTTGGCATCTCTGCAGCCACAGGGCTTTGCTTGAACTACAAGCGGCAGAAAGATCTCAAGCAGCGGCTTCAGGTGAGGCGCACGGGCCAGGGCCTCCAGGGCCTCCAGGGCCTCCAGGGCCTCCAGGGCCTCCCTGCCGCCGAAGATGACCCAGGAATCCTGTCATCTTCCTTCGAAGTGATGGAGGCAGTGGCGCAGGTGTCGATGGAGGCGTGGTGCGATCGTCAAGGCTTCCCCTCGCAGGCGGCAAAGAGCCACTTCGGCGACCTGTCTTTCGGGGAGGAAGGGTGCCCCGAGCAAGGGCATGGGGATATCGGTACTTCCGGAGCTGCCAAAGGCAAGTCGGTATTGAATCTTTACCATTACTTCAACGAGGATCCTGAAGAACCGTGCCGGCAGCATGCGGATCCTGGGCTCGTGACCGTCCTCTGCCTTAGTAGCACCAGGAAGGGCTTGGAGGTCCGGCTGCCCCTCGCACCGGGTGGCGCACCCGGCTTGCCTGCCAGCTATGACGAGGAGTGGCAAGATGTGGAAGCAGCGATGGACCTGCAGCGCACCGGCAATGCACAAGCGTCCCAAGATCCCACCAACAGCGGGCAGGAGGCCTTCTGCTTCCTCGTGATTGTGGGCGAGACCTTGGAGCGCCTCAGTGCCGGCCACCACCCCGCCTGCCTACATCGCGTGGCTCGAACAGCTGAGCCACGCTTCAACATGGCCTTCGAGCTCCGGCCCCGCTGCAATGTCTGGCACCCCTGGCAGCAGCTCCTGGCTCCTCAAAGCGGACAGAAAAAGCCTGGCACTGCACTTTGAAATGCACCCCCGGCCCCCCACCGCCACATCCCGGACCTCTGGCTGCACAGTCCCCGCTTACCCAGGATACGGAGCTCAACAGCGTGGCCGTGCTCTTGAACAAGGCCTTCCGTGCCCCGTCCTCTGGCATCCACTGGGCTTCTCTGTCTCTTGCAGCATATGTGTTGCTCTGCTTCTCTCTTTTGTGGGGGCCGGGGGGGGGGGGGGGGGGGGAAATTCTTCCCTTGTCGCCGACTCCGCGGCCCATCTCAGCTTTGGGGCACGGCTGTGAGACGGCCCTTCACCGAGCCTTGGCGGCAGTCGCCAAGCAGAAACAGAAACGACGCCTGCCTTCGAAGTTTTTTTTGACTTTTTGCACATGCAAGGCGCAGCGGCGCCATGTGCCGACCTTGGTTGTCA